ATATATACACCGTTATATTTCCATGGGTCTTAAACCTGGGAGCTGCTTTTTTTATTTTTTATTCTCACTCCTGCAGGGCAGTGGATTTTTTTTAAATTAAACTGGAATTTGTGCTGACACTGTCCTTCCTTCTGGAGGGTGGCTACTTTTGTTCCCCGTGGTCCCTGTGTGTGCTGTAAAGTAGCCACCGATCCAAAACTCGTCACCATAATTTTTATCGAAATTATGGTCTATCACAAGAGCGAGCTTGGAGCAGTGGCTACGACACAACACCCACGGGGACCATGGGGAAGGAAAGTAGCCACCCTCCAGAAGGAAGGACAGTGTCGGCACCAATTCAGAGATGATTTGAGGATCTACAGCCGAGTGATACACTAATAAGGTCCAGTATTGTTAATAGTTAAAGTACTTGAATGCATTTTAGCATTTACATACTGTATTTAGAGTCATTTTAAGGTAAACCTATCTTCATAGAAATACAGTGGCTACCTTTGCTGACCATCCTATGAAAATGCTGGTTGACTGACTATCGTGCTGACCCACCAGCTTTAATACTTTTTGGAATACTAACCTGGAACAAGTATGTAAAATCTGGCGAGCTCTCAGGATAAAGGCATTTTTGCCCCCTGAGGTGATATTCCAAGCATCAGACCCAGAGTTCCGGGAAGTAAAGGGAGATGGATTCATCTGCCCTTAGTGAAAATGGCCACTGTGAGAAGAATAGGGAGGAAAAGAAAAACAAAGTATGCAAAGAATACAAAGCCAGCAATTATTTATAAATATCTGTTTGTAAATTGCCATTACTAAGCATTTCTAAAGGTGTCTTTGTTGTCATTTCCAAAATAACATCACTCCATTTCCAAAATATCATTTCCATTTCTCACCTTTTTTTGACAGGTTCTCTCTCATTCCCCTGTGCAACTACAAGGGAAGCCTTGAGTGTTCAAACCTAATGCACACTAATCTTAAGGTTGAAATTGTCCATTTTACTCAGTAAACAATGAATACATTCAACAGCTCTCCATCTCCCAGAAAATGGTGAAAATATATTGGCAGTTATGGAGAACAGTCCTAATTCAAATAAATTGAGAAATGAGAAGAGCCTCGGGCTATTTAGGAAGCATATGAAGTATTTTGTTCCACTGATCTGTCACGATGAACGTAGGTGTTTTTAAAATATGTCATACCTATCACTTTATAATTGGCAAAGAAGACGGCTTTCTGAAACTGTCAGGAGCAAAAGTCCTGTCACCCCCAGGAGGCTACTTTTCATGAAATAAGCTCATTATAAGGTATTATAGCATACAGGCTATTAATGCAGACATTTTGCTGACAGGGTAGACAGTTATCACATTTACTATTAGATACACATATACTGTTGTTTATTATTGATGCAAACATGTTGCTCCCTGCACAGAAAAACACATTTGTTCATAAGTGCATAGGATTAAAGTATAAGTGAAGTTATACCTTAAAAAGGCCCCCCATGTGTTTCTCATTACAATTACATATGTAACCTAACCACTGAAATATCAATTTCTCACACAATTCATCCCCACACAGCTACCTCCTCATGTCACTTCCACCTCCCTTTTAGATTGTAAACTCTCACGGGCAGGGCCCTCCTTAGCATCCTGTCTTGAATTGTATTGTAATGTCTTCCTTATATTGTAAAGCGCTGTGCAAACTGTTGGCGCTATATAAGTCCTGTATAATAATAATAATAAATGCAGACCTCCAGATCAGATATTTGTAGCTCCTCACTGCCTTGACCTCTTCAGGTCTGGACATAGTCCTTTCCTATTGGGAGCTGGTGGGCTATGGTGGAACATATGCGCTTTTTCTTATTGAGTGGTTAGCACTTCTGCCTTTCAGCACAGTGGTCCTTGGTTTGAAGCCAGGTTCAGCTAGGACACTACCTGTTCTCCCTGTGCTTTTGCAGGTGTCCTCTGGGTATGCTGGTTTCTTCTCACACATTAAAAACATGCTGGTAGGTTATTTGGCTCCTGTCTAAATTGTCCCTAGTATGCAAACATATGGGATAGGGACCTTGGATTGTAAGCTCCTTGAGGGCAGGGACTGATGTAAATGAATAGTGTGTATAGTGCTGTGTAAATTGATGGCACTATATACAGGTGGCCCTCGGTTTACAACGGTTCAATTTGCATTGATTCAAAATAGCACCCTTTTCTGGGAGTGTTGTAAATTGAAACCAAATATATAATGTATGTCAATGGGAAGTGAAGGAGTTTGGTTCCAGGCCTCCCTCAAAACAAGGAATGGTTCTAAATAGAAGCTGGTGTAAACTGAAACCCAGTAAATAATGTCAGTGAAAAGTGAGGGAGATAGGTTCCAAGCCGCTCTCAAAATTGTACATACCTGTAATGAAAAAAGAAAAAAAAACTTCAGTTCTACTCAAATGTAAATCTAGGGGCATTTCCGAGCATGTAAACTGTTCGATAATAAAGCAGGCAGATCCAGGTGCCTACCATGCAACTCAAACATGAACCAGGATTCTTGTGGTCTCATAGTAATCCACCGCTCCCATCACTTCCCTCTAGGTCAGAGAGTCCACCAGTGATGATTTGTGGCCAATAGGGAGGTGGGGGGGTATAGGAATGGGTAGGAAATAATGTGACCCCCAGAGTTCTGGCAAATGTTGTATTAATAGACTGATCCAGTTTTTTCCAAAATGGATGCACTGCATCCCAACGCCTGACTCCAGCCACTTCACTTTTTTTTAAATTATTATTATTATAGAAAGGGAAAGGGTTAGAGCTCCTGTAAGCTTTTGATTGCACTCTTAGATTGTAAGCCCTCACGGGCAGGGCCCTCCTTACCATTGTGTCTTGAATTGTATTGTAAGTATAATGTCTTCCCTATGTTGTAAAGCGCTGCGCAAACTGTTAGCGCTATATAAATCCTGTATAATAATAATAATCTGTGTCCCTATTAGGAAAATTCCTCTCATTCCTGTCAGAGCAGGATGTGATGGGAACTCTATTCAACAAGGATTTACACACATTTTTAATAAAGTGTGGAAGAGTAAGAACTTTTTATTGCGTGTCCTTGTGATAAACTGCACCCCCAGTTTCGTATACAGTTGTCACAGGGACAAGGAGTGTGCGAAAATGTCCCCAGTGGGGGCAAAAACAGAAATGAAAGCCTGATGGAAATGTAAATGTTCCCTACTTTATCCAAAAGTAAGGCTGGGCTCACACCTAGGCGTATCGAATATGCGCGTTTGTCGTTACCTGGCTGTATCCCAATGGACGCGCGTTTCTGAGGCTACCTGGCTGTATCCCAATGGATACACGCGGCAAATACGCCCCAAAGAAGCTCCTGTACTTCTTTGGGCGTAGTGCGTTTTGCAGCGCGTTCCTACGCGCTGTAAAACGCCCAGGTGGGAACCATGCCCATAGGCAATCATTGGTTTTCACATGTTGAGCGTTTTACAGAGAGTAGGAACGCGCAGTTTAACGCCCAGGTGTGAACCAGGCCTTAAACACAATTGTAAAATGTAAATACACTTGGCTACTAGGTGATGCATACGGTTATGTACAAATAATGAAAAAATTAGTTGTTATGTGCTATGAATGCATTTTATCTAAGATAAACGACCAGAGCTATGGTCGTCCTTAAACACGTTTACGCTGGAATTAAGAAAATTAAGGGGGGGATATGATTTTCATGTACAAGATGTTCAATGGTGACAGCAACATTGGCAACAAACTGTTTGAGATTAACTCCATTACAAAGAATAGAGGCCACCACCTAAAGTTGGTGGAGAAAAAATTCCAGCACAAGGGGCGAAGGGGGTTCTTTACAGTAAGATCGGTTAAGGTCGGGAACTCGCTGCCATCGGCAGTGATTTCAGCTAAGAGTGTAGATTTGTTCAAGAAACGTTTGGACAATTTCTTGAGGGACCGTAATATCCAGGGATACCAGTATCCCTAAGAATGAGATGATGCGTGGACCTATATGGGTTGGACTTGATGGACGTATGTCTTTATTCAACCCCAAATACTATGTAACTATGTAAGATTGGTTTGTTTGAGTAGCTGAAAAGTCTGGGGGTTTTTTTCACAGCGACATATATATTTCCTGGTATAACATTTTTCTTTTTGTTACTGTAGATTGCTTTAGAAGGACACTACAAAGGAGAGAATACCATGATCTGCAATGTACTGTGCATTGGTGAGAGTGATTGCAGTAATACTATTGAAGATGAGGATGACCCCCAAATACCTGCACAAGCTCTGATTTTTAAAACTGCTCGTCAGCATATTTATGCAGTTCTTCTTGGCACAGGCAACGGTAAGCTTTTAAAGTGGACTCCTTGTTATGCAACTTGGAAGTAGCAGCACTAAAATGTTATGTATTCAATTCTTTGGCGAGGGATATTACATTGAAAAGCATGGCCAATCAGTGCCAAGAAGGTGTCTGTCATGCATGAGGAAAAATAATTAAAGTGTATGCAAAGGCAAAACGTGTTCTGGTGACAACTGTCTAAGATGGGAATTCATCTCACTTCCTGTCAGGAAAGGAAATAAAGGGGGATCTCCCTAGCAGAACAAAGACAGCAAAAATAACCCGATAGGTCCCTTCCCTATTCTATCCAAAACAAAACCAAAAACGTTTTGACTCTACTTACAATTTCAGAAAGGGACAAACAGTCACATTTTACTTATTAACCCCTTCATGACTGAGGCCTTTTTTAAATTTTTTGTACCCATGTTATATTCCACATTTTCGGCCTGAAAATTACTTAAAACCCCCCAACATTATATATTTTCTGAATGCCAAGACCCTATAGAATAAAATGGTGGTAGTTGCAAATTTTTATGTTGCGCAATATTAGCGCTCCCTTCTTCGGGACGCAGAAGCGATCTGGCGACAGGTAAGTCGCCAGGATCGCTTCTGTTGTAAAGCCGACAGTCGGCTCTACAAGTTTAAACAGACTCCCGGCGGCAAAAGTCACCGGGAGTCTGTTTAAACAGCCCCGATGCTGGCGACGTACACTGTACGTCGTCAGTCACGAAGGGGTTAAAGTGCACGCTAGGTGGGAATCAGTGGCTCAGTGGGTTACCTTTGTAAAAACAATGTTACTATGCCCATTCAGCATTCAATGTCTCTTTAAAGCCCAACTAAACTTTCAGTTTAAATGAGTAAAATACTGTACATTCCAGGTGCATCGAAGCAATATATTTTTTAAAGTCTTACAGTTCCTTTTCTTTAGCAAGCAGCTACAGCCTGAGTAGAGGCTGTCCCCTGACAGCAGGCTGGAGAGAACAATCCTTGCTCTCTGTAGGAGAAGCAGTGGTATCTCTGCAGAGGTCCAAGTGTAGTACTGATCACTACAATGTTTGGATATTACAGGGAACGATCAACAAATATTTCCCATATTTCCTGATTGTCCTGCAGCTCTCCTCCCCACACCGCCCCGTTTGGCCTCCTGACAGCTTTCTCTTCCCCTCCGGGCATCGGGATCAGCTCTGCGTCCACTCCGATCCCCACTGCCTCTGCCGATACAGGTTAGGGAGAACAGCCTGGATCGGAAGTGACACAGACCGCAGCATGCAACCGATTCCCAGTGGGGAGGAGAGAGCTGCAGAGCTGATGCAGGGACAAGCGCAGAGGGGGGTTTAACGGAGCTCTCCTCACCGCTGGTCACCTCGCTGCTGGGAGCAGTGGGGATCGGAGGGGACACAGTGCCGATGAAACACTGCCCCCCAGCTCAGAGGAGAGAACTAGAGCAGGGGTAGCCAAACTCCGGCCCTCCGGCTGTGGTGAAACTACAAATCCCATGATGCATCTCTCTCTGGGAGTCATGTCTGTAGCTTTGAGAATCTTGCAATGCCACATGGGATTTGTAGTTCCATCGCAGCTGGAGGGCCGGAGTTTGGCTACCCCTGAACTAGAGGATCCACACCAACTAATTAGATAATGAGAATATACGAGAATGAGAATAACAATTATCATGATCAATTATTATCGATTCGTTGGTTACAGCCCTAAGCCTTAGTATTATTTTCAGTATCTCTTCTAGCCAGTAGTGACCTGCAAGATTAATACAGTTAGTTGGATGCATTGTGAGGACCTTACTGATAGTCATGGGAAATTGTTAAAATAATTGTCTTTTTTTTTTTTTTTTAAAGGTGCATTTCTTTGCACTTACATCAGTGTTTTCTTGTTATGTCTGTAGAAATGGGAAACCATTTTTACAGTGTTTTCAAAAGAACTGTTGAATTGTTAAATAAATCTTTCGCCCATGGAAAACGCTTATCTTTCATCAGTTTAACACAGCCGTCAATTCCTTACACTATATGTTGATCTTACTCTTGAGATTTATTTTCTTGTTAGACCCGGTAGTGGCATATACGGAGGTATTTTCATTCTATAGTTTAGAACAGTCATGTTTCCAGCAATTGTTGTAAACCTTTTATTCTTCTCTAATGTATGAGGAGTGGTGGTCTCAGCACTGAAGGTCCTGAAAACACTGACTTTACTTAAATATCACTTTACAAATATACCTAGTTAAAGCTGACCTTGTATGAAAATAGAAGGTCTGCTTTACTGGAAGTTCCCCACCCCCAAGCACAAAGAACGTGAAAAAAAGCCTTACAAATAAAAATTTTACAAAAAAAAAAAAAAGAGTATCTCGGCCCCTGCTTCGGATGCTTCCGGGAGGTATTGGTCACCATGCCTCATTGCTGCCTTACAGGAAAGTTTGATGCTCAAATGCGCTCATGTAATAGCCTTCTGGAAGACTAAGGAACTTGAGCCTCACCTATTTTTTCAGCCCCCTTGAAGGTCCTGTTCCATATTTTGACCTTACTATAGTTGAAATCTGAACAAGGATATATACACTGAGTGGCCAGATTATTATGACCTTAGCCAAACCTTTCATCCCACGGACCGCAGTGTCCATCACCTTCACATCAGTCCCCCACAAAAAAAATTTCCACGATCGCAGATCTATCACATTACGGATCTACAGCCGCATTCCTGCTCCCGTTCAGCCGACGAGTGACAGCCTGGCCAGCTGAACTCTCACTGCACCTGGCGGTGAGTGCCACGTTTACCAGCGGAATTCACTTGTCCCCACGGACCCCCCAGGCACAACAACTACCAAGGAACATCTATAAACTGCCTATTAACGATGTAGCCTGCTCACTATACCCACAAGGATCGGCGAAACTTACTGCTGAGCGATCTATACAGCCTTCACTCCACAACTGCGAGACCTCATCTTGTCCTCCAAAACAGTGAGTTTTCAGTCAAACATTGCTTTTAAAGTTTCTATCCCTACCACCCCAGAAAATTCCCAGGGTTGTAGCGCTTCTTTCCACCCTCCTTTTTCTCATATGTCTACAGGGCTCCTCCCCCTGAATAAGAAGCTTGCTCACCCCATACTGTTTTCGCATTTTTTTAAATTGTTGTAATATTAAAATCTGTTTTAAACATATCCTTTCCTCTTATACATTCCATATCAGTTGTGCGCTCGCCATTTTTACCGTTTTTATCCTGCGGTCATAAAAATCTGGCCACTCAGTGTAGATCCCCCCTTCCCACATGTGACACTGCTTAGGCCTGCCAACTGCCTGCTTGTGTCAGGTTGACAACTTTCCTTTGAAGAAATAATAGTCTGTCTTTTTCAGTCCCTAAAATTGAAAACAGGCCCCATTTGTACCAGCCAGGCCTTAGCTCAGCTACTCCTACAAATTAAGCATCCTCAGTGTGCTTGTAGATTATTATCCTTGTCCATGGCCAGCATAACACTGGATAAATGCTTGACATTTTTAGTACATAAAGTCCTGTTTCTTGTTCTATAAAATGTGTTTGGTCCTTCTCTAGGAAGCCACCACATGTTTCATTGTGCTAATTAATTCACTTAATTCTCTTTTTCTTTCATTGAAGTTTAGTGTTGAAACATTCCAGTGATGTCACTTTATTCATATTTTTACTACAACGAGTTATAAAGAACACTCATAAATTAAAGTTTGAGTTGTTTCTGCTCCAGTAATTATTCATTCTTTTTTTGTGACTTAATTTGCAAACCATTTTCAAATTACTCTTTTTTTGTTGCCATTTGAATGGACCACAAGGCACATGACAAGCGTCATGTCTTATTTTGGGGATGTTGCTGTGCATTGACAGCGCATTCACTATGAAAGGGCTGCCTTAATGCAACGCATCTAAATGTGTGTTCTCCCACACTGCAGCAGCCTGGAGAAATGTGAAGGGGGCCTTTATTTAATGAGTGGCCTTGCTGACCTATAAGCAGGCTCAGAAAGTGGGAGAGGTTGGGGTTAAGCTTGACTTTCACAGGAAATCTGAACATTTGCATTTCATTTCAGCTGCCTATACCCCTGCATGTCCAAATTGCATAAATGCACTAAACTAGCAAATGGATGTGAATTAGCCCCATAGGAACTAATGGGATTTCTAGGTAACATGCTCATTTGTGCTGTACAGTACGACAGGTGTGAACAGACCCTCAGGGTTTCACTTCCCCATAAGGCAGGAGTGTTGTTCCTGTGTGTGGTAAGAAAAGAACATTAATAACGGGGGATTACTACATCTTTGTTGGGTGGGTCATGGGCCCCCCTCTTAAAACCCTAGTGGCACAGGTCAGAGGGAACCTATTGTGGAGGGTGGATGTGTGACCGTATGTTCCTTTGGGTAGTATATTAGAAATGTTTGTTAAATATTATTTTGAAGCAATAGATGTAAAATGTCTGAAATGTACTGTTTTCTGGTTGTTGTTTGTTATTAGGCTCACCGGTTACTAGTCCTGTTGTTAAAGAGTGGTATGTCTACCCTGGAAACCTGCTGCAAACACCAGATCTTGTTCCAGCTGTTCCTCTACTCATTCCAGGTAACTTATTGTGCTGCTACTGCTGGAGCTAAAATGTTCTTTAATTTAAAGTTGCCTTTTTTTCTCAGGTTGTTTGGGATTCTAATACATTTTCTGCAATAATGCTAAAAAAAACTGAGCAACTATAGTTATTAAACTTCTTCTTCTACATTTATTGCAGATGACTTTCTAATGTGGAACCCTACATGAAAGTCTTATTTTTAATCATTGTCATGTACATATGCGCTTAGTAACTCAATCTAAATCAGAGGCTATAATAGATTATATTGAAGTTAACAGCCGTCTTTAACAAATATTACACACCACTGAGGCATTCAGCAGAGGAAGGCCTTAGTTTCTCACCTAGATAGATGTAATTACACAGACAAGAACAAAGGATATTGTTACACCCAGCCACTAGACTGAGAGGGGACTTTCAAAACACTATACCCTTCACATCAGTATGTTTAAAATCGATAACTTTTTATTTACATAAAAAAAATAGAGAATAAAAACAGTCCAATGTTAAAGTACATTGCTGGTCAACATCCATATAGAATTATATAATTATTCCCAAATGGGATATATCATAGTCAATGAGCTTGAGGTTAGACCAAGATGGTTGATGCACCGCAGGTTTCTCAATGCGTTTAACCAGAAATGGCTTCATAAAGCAGTATGTGTAGACCAGCAAGGACAGATGAAGGAGGGATGAACTCGATGAGATATAGTGCCACCGCCCTGGTAGATCAGACCTCTGCAAAGAGATCACTGCTTCCCTGTAGAGCATGATTGCAGTTGCCAGGCTTTTCTACTGAGGCCGTGGCTACTCTTTAAAGAAAACAAACTGTAAACTTTACACATAATTTTTGATGGTATTTAGATGATTTAAACTGAAAGTTAAATTTGGCTTTAAAGGACCATTACGGAGGTTGGAAGGACAGGGGTCAGAAACGATTAATAAGAAAGGAGCTAAAATAACTCCAGAGCAAAAACAATTTAAAAAAAGAAGCCATACTGCAAAAGAGGAGTTATTCTATAAGACAATGATTTCAATCTCTGGGGACCTATAATGACTGAAGAATCTTCAGCATTTGACACACTTCCGGTTGTGTCGGATTCTTATGCATTCACACTGTAGGTCCACCTGCCGAATGCTACATCACTGCTATATCCCTGCAGGGCTGTAGTGATTCAGCAACTGGCAGGTGGAACCAGAGCAGGCAGCCATGGACACAGGCATCCAATTCCCCAGAGTGTGTTGGATGCTGAAGATTCTTCCACTGGTGTAGCCATTTAAGAAAGCAAAGATTGGAGGCACTGCCTGACTGATTAGTAAGCATTATAAATCTTCCTTTGCTGAGTGTCTCATTTTAAAATTTTTGTTTTAGTGCAGAGGACTGACTGCTATCTACCGACATTAAGAACCAAAACCCAAAATAAAGAGGTGCTAGTTGTCAGAAATGATTATCTACAATTCATAGCTGTGTAAATAAATAAATAAGGCTGATGTGCTGATTGTGATGCTGTACAATTCAGGGACATTTAATGGTTCTGTCCATTTTGTTACTAATCTAAACTCCTCATCCTGAAACAGGGTGGTCAGCTCTGACCGGTGGATCACTTTTGAGGTCCAGTTCTTGTAATTCTGTACATTCTGAATACATTTAGGGCCAATTCATGCTGCTATGCTGTGCATTTATGTGTGTTATTTAACCCCCCCAAACGGCCTAAAGTACAAAAAAGAATGTAGTATTTCATGTAAAGTGAGTTGCAGTACCTGTATTACCACAACACAATAATGTAAATGGTTCTGTCCAAGTTTAGCCTTTTATGAACAACCAGCTACTCATAAGTCTCTACATGGCATTTCATGAAAAAGAGGGAACTGTTCAAGATGTCATATGGCATCGCGCTAAATTAATGTATTTGTTCATGCAGAAGCCCAAGTTTTCATTAGCTAATGCACAAGGAATAGTAAAGGTCTTTCATCACCTTGATTTCTACTAGTAAATTCATCCAATCCCTGATGTATTTATATACCCTGTAAAATAATCCATTTCAGACCTTAGTCAATCCTAATAACAGCATTATCTTTTCCTTGATGAAAAACACCTTCAACAACAAATGCCTGGAAAATATCTTTAAGGCCTTGTTCACACCAAGCGCGTTCCAGGAGCAGAGCAGTTACAGGCCGGATCAAAACTGCGTCCAATGTATTCTAATGGTATTTTGGGCTCTAGTTCACACCGCAGCGTTCAGTTCCAGAGCATGTAAAAAAACCTGCAGCAAGCCCTATTTTACCTGCCCTGGAACGCTCTGGAGCGCATGCAAACGCATCAAAAACACATGCAAACGCCTTGGAATGTATCAAAACCAAAAACGGCCCAGAACGCATCAAAAACGTGGCACAACCCACTGCACTGCGTGTGCAGAAACTCATGCAGATCTGGTCTGCATTTGGTGTGAACAAGCCCTTAAGCATATGTTGCCCCTAACATTGTTCTTCCCTATATGTGTGTGTGTGTGTGTGTGTGTTTATAGCCTGTTTAAGTTTTATGTGCTAGATTGCATTGAGATACCTGGTGATCCTGCAGGCCCTTATCTTTGCTGTTGCAAACTGATCAGGCCAAGCACAGAAGCAGATCCATGCTGGCAGGTCAGTTTGTGTATCAGTGCCTACCCTTTTTGGAGTTACAGGATCTGTGCCAATGCTTGTTGTGACTGTATCTCTGTGGTCTGTTTCATTGCCATGCCTCCTGCCCAGCTCTTCTTTTTTGCCCCAACTCACAACAGGAGCCTCACTGTCAAACTACAGAGAGAAACACCCTCTTGGAGCACAGCGCCACTGTAAAAGGACGGCTGCTCCTGCGCATGTACATGGTCCCATTTTCCGTGTATTCTGGAAACATGCACTTGTGTGCCTGCGCGCGCAATGAGACAAGCTCTAACAAGTGGGTCTATATAAACGAGCCGGACATATCCCTAGTTGCTGGGTGATCTTCAGCATGTTCCATGTGTTCCTGCCATTTTCTTTGAATCACTTGCTTTAATGTCCCTGACCCTGATTGCTGCCTGCCTCCTGACCGTAGCCTGTTTCCAAGACTTTGCCTCTGCCTCCTGTTTTAGTACTTCGCTGCACGGCTGGTTTTGACTCCTTGGCTTCCCTTGACTTCGCTCCTGTCTTCTGTTTCGGTACCTCGCTGCCCGCTCGGCCTGACCTCAGCTTCACCTGACCAAGCTCTTGATCCTGATTTTGGACTTCTATCCGTCACAGTGTCATTACCACCATTGGCACTCATGCTACTTGCTGTCACTCACCTTCTGTCCCCATGAGAGACATGAGCTGTAAACCTTGTTAACTACCGGTCTCCAACCAGGCATGGGACAGCCACCAGATGGAGAATGTACTTCCCCTGCTATGTGACATAAACTGCCCCCCAAAATATGTGTAATGCTCATATGGAAGGCTCTGCGGCCAGCAAAGACTTCCAAAAAAGGTTCTGAACATCTTCATTTTAATAAACCAAATGTGCTTGGGGTACAGAATCGATGTTTCCTTTATTGCTATGTGCTTTGGGTGTGCTGCATTCAGATATACTGTACGTTAAAGGAAGTTTTAATGAGAAAAGCATGGAGGCTGCTATAGTTGACATTTACTTTTTTTTTTTTAATTCTATTTGTCTGGTAGTCACACTGACCTAACTGCAGTACTTTGAGTCCGTGACCCTGAACAAGTATTTAGATAAATACTTTTTTTGATCTGCATAGTTGCTTCAATTCAATGGCTCAGAAACTGTTGTCACTGTAATACTAAGTGACGGGAAATCTCTCTAACGGAACCTTGGATAGCGGTAAAAACCCAACAAGGGTTCTAATTTTTCCACAGTACATCCAAAATGTAAAAAAAAACATTTTTTAGCTAGACATAAACTTTATGGAAAACCTTCCTGTCACATTTCCTTTCACTTTGGATAAATACCTTGCTTACATCTCTAGGAGTGCAGGATATTTAACTGGTCTATCCACCCAAGAGCCATGCCAGGGTTGTACGGCTGGGTCGTGAGTGAAACCCCTTGGCAGGGACAAAGGTACAGAGGGAAAATCCAAAAGCGTAGTCAAGTCCAAGTCTGGGTCGAGGCAGGCAGCGAGGTTCAGAAGCGAGGAGGCAAGCCGAAGGGTCGATAACGGGGGTTCAGGAAGCAACAGATTTACACACAGGAAGCTGGCGATCACACCATAGAGGTAGAATAACTCAGCAATAAGCCAAGGGTCTGTCTGGTTGAAATACACAGGGAACCCAAGGACCATCCCCTGGTTGCCGAGGCGACCAGGAGGCTTCACTAACCAGGAGCCAATAGCAGGGCTGACTGGGCGGATGGTGTGTGCTGGGTACCTCCCCCAACCTTAAGCACCTGAAAACACTAAGTAGCGCAGGCGCGTTACGCACGCACCCCCGTGCAGCCTGTGTACCGCGCGAGCGCAGCACATTCCGCACTAGCGGCCCCGGCGCCAGGAGTCCTGCCAGGAGGGGAACCCAGTGCCCTGCGCCACCGCTGGCAATCCTGGTAAGGAGCAGCACCCCCGGTTCCCTGACAAGCCAAGACTGGTGGGCTGTGTCAGCCCAACGCTTCTAATATGTTATGGATTCTCCAGCAGTGTTCGCCATGTTATAATTCCAGACTGTGTTCCTGTGCACTTGGGAATTTTGGATTTTGCCACCCAACTTTGGGTGTTCTAGCACCTTCTGTTGCATAAAATAAAATGAATGTCAAAATCCAGCCAATAAGGAGGGCTACAACAGATGTGCATACCGAGGAACTCAAGTGCAGATATCTCACCAACAGAGTCCACGAGACATATAAGGAACACTCGTGTGTTTTAGCTTTCCTACCAAAAACTGAAATATGGTAATCTGGGATAAAATGTGTTCTTACAAATATATCTAAATGTTTTGTGCAGGATTTTACACAGAGGAAAGCCTCCTTTTTCACATAGGAGTTAAGTCTGATTATGTAAAT